AGCTGTGCATTTTTACCCTGTGTCAGTTTAGCTAGACGTAGGGTACTATTTTAACCCTGTGTTTTCGGATTTTCAGCAAACTTGATGGGATATGACTCGAGACGGTATTTCCAGATGATATCGTCTGAAGTCCAGAAAGGTCAACAAAAACATGGTCGGAAAAACACATTTTCCAAGATATATCTTAACAAAAAAGAGTAAGGGAGATGATCTAAACTAATGATCAGGAAACAGTGCCCCATCATAGCAGACTCTAAATCCAATAGGACTATATACTGTACAGTATATAACTTAAAGCAGTAAGATTTGAGACACAACACGTGTGTGTGTGTACATATATAATACACATATATAAACATATAGCTGCCTTTAAACTTATAATAGTCCGTATTTATATGTATGTGCGTCTATTTCTTTTTTCTACATTCTATTTTTGTTTTCATATTAATGCTTAATACAGTACACATCCTCGTGGGAACCATCCTGTGCCACTGCACTTTATCAAGTAATGACAGGTGAATATTATGAATATATTTTCTCTGTACTTTTATTTGATTCTATTTTTTGATTCTTTTTTATACTCTCACGTATTCTCTTGTCTCCCTCGTTCTGACTATCTGCTGCTTTAAAAAGTGGATTTCCCAGGCGTGGGTTTAAAAACGTTTGATGATGATGTTTGCAATATAAAGAATTAGTAAAGCCTGATTGGGGGCATATACAATGCATGTGAAGGGTATGTATAGGCCCTCTGATGCTTTTCATTCATTTTATTTTCCGTGGAATGGTAACTGTGATAAGCAGCTTGCCCAGGATTGATACACTGCCTAATAAGTATTTACCCAAATCTCCCTTCAGGTGCTGCCAGCCTTCTTATGAATATTATCTATGGTCATTCCAACCTTAGAAAATGCACCGAAGAAGTACAGATTTTTCCCATTAAACTTTTGGCAATTTGCAAACATTACCAGAGGAAATAAATCAATTTGATCCATTAAGTCCATCTGGGGCTTACATAATATGCATATGTGAAGGTGTTTGTGAGTTTGAATAGAGCAGCCGAAACCAATTAGTTGAGAAAAGAACCTCTGTGGACCTCATGAGACTGTGCGAGTGAGTAATCACCCTGAGCCCAGCATTTCCTCAAACACAACGTCAAATTACTTTTAAAAATATGTCCTAGTGGTCACGCAGATACAGTGGTTCCAGTAAAAACTAGCCTCACAAGATACCAGGACTTCCTAATATCTTCAACAAGCCAACTATTATGGGCAAAGATGTAATCTGTGTAGGAAAACAGAGAAGTGCTGACTGGATACAGTGAACAGCAGCGGTCCGGCTTCTCTGTAAGAACTTTGTCATGAGCAGCCTCGCAGGACCTCTAATGCCAGGTCAGTATCAACTGAGAAAGCCTGAGAGTTGGTTAAATGAGCCATGCTCCATTTAATTTGTGAGGAAAGCAAAAACACATAGGAAACATTTTTGCTCAAACTCTTATCTGGGACAAAATCATGACAGGTATTTATGTGCTGGAGCAGCAACGGGAGGAATCAAACAAGCACAGCCCTTCTTCACAGCAGTTATTTTGACTCAAGTCACAGCAGAAAAAGCAGAGGTGTGATCACCAAAATGAATCAATAGCGTAATTATATTCAGGGCTGTGTGAAAGTGAGCCAGCGATACCATGACCCTGAGACTGAAGAACCTAAATGGAATTGAGCCATCACAAATTCATCATTTAGACCAAAGGCGGTCGACATGGCAGTTACCAAAGTGAAGCCTAAATATCTTGATCCCCCCTGTTGGTTGGCTTCAGTAACGTTATAAATCCTGCCCCCTCCATGTTAACAAGCAGGACGCGAAGCAAACTAAAAAAATAAATGTTCCCAAAGATGGTTACTGTCATTGTAACCATTGTTACAGTGCATCAGTTGTTATCACACTGATGTATATATGTTCAAGTTTTCTTTATTGCTAATTGAAGCGAGAAACAGGAGATGGTCAGTAGTGGCATTACTTGAATGTCGATCTTGTAGCTCCGCCTCACAGTAATTGATTACTCATCCAAAAACCTTCAACTTGAGACTTCAGAAATAGACGCCCCATGTTTGAAATTGATTGAATGAGCGGTTGTTGAGAAAATCTAAATACAGTCAAAGTGACAGAGATTCCTTCATTTATAGTAAGCGGTGTTGTGATGGTGGTAACGTTAACAGCGGCAGTATATAGCCAGAGAAGAAATAGAAATAGTTTTAAGAAATAGTAGTAGGGCAGTAGTTGCCCTAGTAGGAGGCATAGTAGCAGTAATAATTGTTGTGGTTGTTAATTGTACTTGTTGTAGCACCAGTTGTACTATGCTAATACAGACAGTAGCAGAGTAGTTGTAGCAGCAGTAGCACTTACCAGTAGTAGTATCAGCAGTATAGTAAGCCTAGTGGTTGCAAAAATGTCTGTCAAACCAACACATGTAATGTACTATAACAAATAGTACAAATAATACAATTACAGCTATTTTTGCCAAAATATGCCTGCTACTACTACTATAGAACTGCATATACTGCTATTGATGTTTTAATATGACACTTCAAGTACAACTATTACTGCTAATAGGCTTGATGCTGGGGACTTTAACAGTAGCAGAACAGCCATTAGCGAAACAGTGATCTTAATAACAGTGGCAGGCATATAGTTATAGGAGTAATATTTGTAATTGTAGTATTCATGGTACTTGTGGCAGTTGTACTGTACTAAGAGTGAGAGCAACAGGAGCAGAGTATAGTGTCACACTGAAACAGCAATAACAGTATTTGTCATTGTTACAGCATGTACCATGTAACGGTAGTATTAGCAGTACAGTAAGCCTGGTAGTTGCATAGTGTCTCAAATCAGTAAATGTAATGTAATATAACTAGTACCACAAAAACTACGATTGCAATTATTACTTCTACACCTTGCAAACTACTGCTATAGGGCAACTACAAATACTGCTAATACTGTTTCAATATGACACTTAAACTGCAACTATTCCTACAACTATGCAACTACAAGTACCATGAACACTGCAACTACAACTATTACTGCTACAGCTATCCCTGCTAACACTTAAGTACAATTACAGTAGTAGCAGTAACAAGAGGAATATTGGTATAGTACAAAGTGAGAGTATCAGTATCAGCAGGAGTAAAACCAGTGGCATCAGTACTAACAGTAGTACTGGTAATAGTAGCACAGTACAGCAGCAGTGACAGAAGCAGTAGCCTGTCATACAAAACACAGATCCTCAGTGCAACATTCTGTACCCACCCAATATAATAGACACTGTATCTGTGCTGTACACAAGTACACACTGAAACACTGATGTTTACAAGCAAGCTGACGGTGCGTCACTTATCCAAGCACACTGAGAGGTAATCTGACCTATACGCAGGCAAATCAAATCAGGCTGGAGCCGGTGAAGTTACTTCAGCCCAGGCAGAGGTGTTTATACGAGGGCTGCTCAGCTGGAGTGAAAGCAAAACTTCTATTGCTGATGTTATTAAGCAGCATGTAAACACACTCACTTACCTAGTGAATGGCATCACTCAGCCACTTGGTCACTCAGCCACTCATTAAGCCCTGGTTATCTGCAACAGGCAATAAGCTCAGTGTGCTCGCATGGTATCAGAGAGTCTTTCACGAAGCAAAAAGGTGATGTTTGTGTTCTTCTGTTTGTGTCAGGAATATCATCCATTTCGATTTCTGCTTGAATACCATAATGTAAAGAGACCATATGAAGAACATCTACCTACTAATTCTACAAACGTCTTTCTGTCTGTCTGTCTGTCTGTGTGCAACACATATCTCGCCGATCATTCATCTTATCGGATCCACATTTGGCTTGTCAATTGTAAAATGCCAGTGTAAATTTTGGTGCGATGTAAACACATGATGCGTTCAATATTGATACACAACCAGCTCTCTGTAGCAGTCAGTGGGTATGGGGCAGTTTGCCTTCAGTGAACATGTCTTCAAGTTCAACACGTCCTCTTCTACGTCATCTGATTAAGTACAGCAGGGGTCGGCCACTGGGTCAAACCGAGGGTCAAAATCCCTGACGGATGATTTTGATGATTAGTTTGTTTTTATTTCACCATTTCAGACTGACAAAGACACATACAGCTCAATTGGTGGTTTCTGTCATGGCAACAACATTCAAGTAAAAGCATTGTGACAGTTTTATTGCAGTAATGCTTCATATCAAGCATATCAAAAAATAACACCAGTTCAGAAAATCTTTCAAACCTAAATATCAACCCCATACGTGAGGGTAATAAAGCAAATTCAGTTTCATTTAATGAAAAACATAAATTCTTCATCGCAGATAAACCAGGTAGCATGAACAAAAGTTTCCTACCTTCACTCCAGCACACAAACAATAAAAAGTAACAGTATATTGTAGAAGTGTTTGACTCACTAATGAAAAGGAATAATTCTGAAGTAGCTCCAGAGCTTTAACACGGGACTAGAAAACCGAACATTCCAAACAAACTGGTTTATAACAGGCACTGCACTGGTACGTATTAAATAAAGTTGATTTCTGAAGTAATATTCAAAGGACACTACTCATTCCTACAAAGATCAATATTACATGAGTGAATAAAACTATAAGCCCTGCTGTGAGTTTTCATTATTATTCAAGTTGTAAAATATTAATGTTATGAGTGTCAGCTCAGTCCTCACGTCAGCTGTTGTTATTATAGGGATATGAAGGTGGCTTTATGATCAGGTCTCAGTAGTACACATCCCACCTCCTTCTTTCACAAAAACACACGCACACTCTCTCCTTCTTTCCATTGACGCCAGACCCTGAGGCCGGCCTCCTTTTACCGAGAGCCAATGGCGGCGTGCCGAGCAGGCGAGCCTTCATGAGCCGACCCCCTAATTTGACTGGTTTAATGTACCCAGCTCCGATCATGTGACGTTTAAGCGAACCACCAGTCCTCTGGAGAGAGGGAGAGTGATAGTGTGCGTGTGTGGTAGAGTAAGAGAAGGAGAGAGAGCGTGTGTGTGTTTGGAGACATAGAGTTATGCAGAGACCGTGTCGCGGGGTGATATAGCCATTACGCACTGTTACGCACTGACAGCTACTTTCCAGAGAGGAGCTCTGTGCGCAGAGGAGCGGGATTTTGGATTCCTCATATGCACAGGTAAGAGCAGATGAAGCAGGGACGCTGGTGTGATTGAACAGTAGCCTGAGTGAGTGTTTTCTGTCTGTTATTGTGAAGCACAGTGGAGACGCATGGCACAGCACGGCGAGCTTCAAAAATGACGCTGAGTCCCTCTGTAAAAAAGGAACAGATCATATATGCGGCAGCGCTAACTTCATATCCACATCATTTCAAACTTATACTGATACTTGTCATTTGCATTCTTTGGGATTTGACCAGATGTCACAGCTCGCCGTGTGTAATTGGTTATCGCAGCGCGGTGAAGAGCAGGAGCGCATCTCACTGCTGTCAGAGCTTTCCTGGTGTTCCAGGGTTACTTTAGGGCAAATGACTTAACACCTGGTCAAGCCAAAGTATACACGAACTATTTTCCTCTCATCAGGAATCCAGCAGCAGCTGATACCAGACGTTCCATGTCATGTGATGTTATCACATTAGAAACCATATCTAAGTCAGATTTTTGGCGTCAGATCAGTATTCACAGTATGTATGTAACAGCAGCATATGACATTTAATGAACATTTAAAGTTATTGATTATATATTTAACTAAACAAACAATTGATTAATTATTGAAGAAGTTACTAAACAAATATTCATGAAACCACATAGAGCCCTTGTCAGGCCCCCTGACCACACTTCGAAAAGAGCTGCTTCCTAAGTTTACACAAGAGGGCGCACACTCTTTGTTTTCATCCATTCAGTCATATCTTTCTTGCAAAACACATGTGGCCTTTTTAAGGTTTTTAAAGAGATTGTCATGTAATGTTTAATGTTCACTGCGTTTAAGGCCATTTGATTATAGCATCGTTTTTAATCCAGGTCAGTGCGGACATTCTGCATTGTTAGATGGATAAAAATAGACACTAAATCCTTCAGTCATCATCCCACTGAAATCTGCTGATCTTCCACTGACTGACTGACTGAACCCTTTGTGTGATAACTGTGCCTCTTGATGCTCTGCAGGGAGTTTTAAGGATGCATCTTTATTCTAACCTATGTACTGCATGTGAGTTATGTACCATTGCAAGTAATTTCATAGTTCATTCAGATGAAGCTGATATATGGACTAGAGGTGGGAAATTAATAGGAAGACCGTATTAAATGACAGCATGAAACATGTGGCTTCAGTGGGGAGAAATGGGAAGCCCTGATTCCACATAGTCAGCTTGAAGACTGATCCAGCAGCTGCACCGTCCACACACACGCACACACACACACACAGTCTTCAAATTCCTTCACACGTGGTGGACTTTCCTTTTGAAGTGCCATCAGCTGCAAATCTTTTGCAAAAGCAGCAGGTAGTGCAAAGACACCAAATAATAAAAGTTTGCTCTCAGTCTGCTGGGAGCCGTACTTTTATAAAAACATGAGAGACTAGAGAAACATTAATCTCACAGTTTAAGACAGCCTGCCAGTGTCGCCGTGTTGTCATTAAATCATAAGTCACTTTTATAAATAAATGTAATCACAGTCAGTCAGTAGGTGCCACCAGATGACTTTTTTATTTCTTTAAATGCAATCAAAAATCTCGTCGTTTTTCATGCCATGCAGTTAAAGATAGTTTCTTTCATTGTAATAAATGATAAACACAATAATATTTATTTTGCAGGAAAAAGAAAGACATTCTCATCAACATTCAGTGGATCTCCAGCAGAACAGCTTGATCTTCAGAGCAGACCAGAGTCAGCTGCCACCCATCCGAACAGGAATGGTGGATCACTTGCCGCTTGGTGAGGAGACCTTCCTGTATTATACTGGCTCCTTGGGGTCTGACTACAACTGCCTCTGTCGCCACGCCAATGGTGGCGTGGCCCCGGGCATCATGGTAACTGATGCATGCATTTACCATCACCACCACCATCCTTACCAAGGGTTGATGGTCTCCACCTCGCCTCGTCTCTCCGAGGATGACCTCAGTGACTCCTCCAGCCCTCGTTCCTCCCTCTGCTCCAGCCCAGAGTCCTCATCGCCAGCCTTCCGGCACGTTTTCGGCTCCAGCTACGAAAGCAGGAGCAGCAGGAGCAGTGGGAGCTGTAGCTCTTCATCTGGAGGAGAGAGTCAGGACAGCCTGCTGGACCTCCTGCTCTCACAGAACTCCCTTAGCACCTCATTAAGTCCAAATACCAGCAGCAGCAGCAGCTCTCTCACTTCCTCTCTTTCTTCCTCCCTATACGTGTCCTCTCCACCTTTCTCTTCCTCCTCATCTCTCACTGCCCCCCTTTTGCCCATGGGCCTGGCCTGGGAGTCCAAGAGGGAGCAGCGGCTGAGTCTCCTCCAGCAGCAGTCCAAGGAGGATTGTTACCAGTTCCCCGTCTTCCTTGATGAGCTGCAGGATCCTGCGGCGCTCCTTTTTCAGCCCACCCTTGAAGAGATTGAGGAGTTCCTCGAGGAAAACATGGTGGTGGCAATGGAGAAAGAAGAGGAGGGGAGTGAGGCAATGTCACCAACAATAGAGGACACTGAGGCGAAAGGTTCAAGGACATTAGCAGGAGAAATTCTATCAATGTTTCAGAACTCAGATCAGACTGTTCCTGTGGACACAAAGACCAAACATTCATCATGTGCGTCTGACATGGACAGCTCACCATCAACAGTGGATGCTACCTGCATAAATAGTTCTACATATTCTTGTAGTCAAGTTGATGGGATCAAACAGGAGGACCATGAATCATTGCCCTCCTCATCAGAAGATACCAGTGCCTCCAGTGTGCCTGTCATCCTACAAATCCAGCCCATACAGATCAAACAAGAACCCAACCCCAGTGCCATATCAGATGCCGTCACCCAGCAAACCCAAACACAGAAAACCCAGTCCCAGGCAACTCAGGCCCCATCGGATATCAAAATTGCCCAGCTCCTGGTGAACATCCAAGGACAGACCTTTGCTTTGGTGCCTCAGCTGCTTTCCCCAGCAAACATGAGTAGCTCAAGTAAAAACGGGAGCGCTACCTCATCCAAATTTGTCCGGATTGCACCAGTGCCCATTGCAGCTAAACCCAATGACCTTGGGGAAGGTGGGTTGGGGGGCTCGTCTGCAGGGGTCCATGTTGGAGGTCAGAGGTACCAGAAGAGTGCCGTCGCAGACCTAATTAAAATGCACAAGTGTTCTTTCCCCGGCTGTAACAAGATGTACACCAAAAGCAGCCATCTGAAAGCTCACCTGAGGAGGCACACAGGGGAGAAGCCCTTCGCCTGCACGTGGCCTGGCTGTGGATGGAGGTGAGAAAGTGTCTTTATTTTAGATCAAATGAAACTAATGAGTCGAAAATAAACAAGAGTATATCACACCATTCTTCCATTACTCAGAGTTGCGCAAATTGTGACGTATTTCTGGTCAAAGTTTGGATGAGTGGATGGAGATGAAAGGATTTGGGGAGACTATATTTGATGCACTTACAGTGGGAACTCTTCTATATGTTTATCTGAACTTCAGAGATTACAGAGAGAGTAACCACGGTTATCAACTTCCGCTGTGGACACACTTACAGACACTTGAAAACAGCTTGAGATAATTGAATGCCCCTGATGTGTGTGGACTTTAAAGTCATAACGAGTGCTGCACATTCATTTGTCATATAAAGAACCATGCTTTTTATTGTGATGGATTATTACAGCTAATAATATCCTGGTGCTCTTTTTAAGATCTTGCACTGACACTAGTCACTAGTTGTCATTTTTATTAAGGCTAAAACATTCCGCAAGGTTGTCATCCTTATTACAGAAAAGGAAACTGGTTCCAAGTCTTTAATTGCATTCACAGTGAGTAACTTTGATTGGCACCAGTTTGTTTTGAAGAACTGGGATATTATTCTTTAGCAGAAGAGTAGAAAGGATTCATGAGGGTATATACAATAAAGGATTCACAAGGCCTTTAGTTTAATTAATGGATGAAAGGTAACAGCTCATCTTCAGGGAAGTTACATTCAAGTCTAGCTGAGATTGTTAAAACTTGTTCTTTCATACACACCGGCTGTGTGTCCCATTATCTTTGTGTTTTCGTACCATGGTAAAGTTGTAGATTAGATAGAGCCCCTTTTGAAGTTGCATTCAGACTTTGTACCCTGTTAGTTATTCCACTTGTTTGCTCACTGTCTGCAGCCACTGCAGCCACACTAGAGATACACTGGATTAGTGCAGAATCCAGTTATAAGTTTTCACTTCAGAGCACCCAGAATTTTATTTTTGTTTCGTGACACATTTTTAAAGACTCTGCCCATAAACCCACGCAAGTAGCTTTTTGTCTTCTTTAATATTTAACTTCATCCAAGTAAAAGAATTGCGGTTAAACTGCTCTATCCAAGATGACAACTTTTATCATGTTGGTCAATGGATTAGACCTCTATGCATGCAGGTATTGCCCAAGGGAGCTATAGTGTGTGTGTGTGTGTGTGTGTGTGTGTGTGTGTGTGTGTGTGTGTGTGTGTGTGTGTGTTTGTCCACACAGAGGGAGGATTAAGCAAGCGGTCAAGGTTTAATCATGGTAAGGATTGAATTTAAGGTTAAGTTAGACACATGTTAAGATCAGGTGGTAGTGGTCAGGTAGGTCAGTTATCAGGGTACTTCCTGCAAACACCGTACACTATTATAGTGCATAGTGTAGACTACACCCTGTGCTGCACCTGCAGACGTTTGAAAATCTCCAGCTCTGACAGGATATTTTTTCATAATATTAATTTTGCCAGGTCATATGTATTTGAAGGCACATTACATAACTTCTTCTGGAAAAGAAGACAACATTTAAAATGTCCTATACATTAAATTCTAATGTAGGTTTAGGCTGACTTGCTGCCAACAACTTTTAGATAATTGGCTAAATGCATTTGTAGCATGCACTTCTCCCTTCATTGGCCTGTGCAAATGCAGGCCAGCTTGCATTGAACTTTAAGGAATAGATCCACATGTTGGGAAATACTTTAATACACTCTCTTGCACCGAATCTGGCATGTGAGTGGCATTGATGTTTTCACCAGATTTGGTGCAAGAGAGTGTATTAAAGGGTAGTCACTGGAAAGTCATTGCGCTCCGGTGCTCATTGCCCAGGAGGTGTTAAAGAACATAACTCAATGTAAAAGAAACACAACTTTCTTTACTTTTTTTGTATTTGCACTGCTCCAGCTAATTAGATTTGATGTTTTTTTTAGGGAAGTTTAGAGGTGGAGGTGGTGGGTAGATTTTTAAACTTTGGATAGAGCCAGGCTAGCTGTTTTCACGTTGTGTCTTTATGCTAAGCTAAGCTAACTGACTCCTGACTGCACGGACATGTGACCGGTCTGAACCCTCATATAATTTGAATGGGCTCATTGCATCTTAGAAACATTTTTACTGGGCATCCTCAAACTCTTGTAGTCACAAATTGTATTGTATTGTAATCACTGTATACAGTATGAATATGAATGAATGGGAAGCTGCATCTTCCAGCAAACTGCAGATAACACATTTGGAGCTCTGTGTCTGATTGTATCTGTGTCTTTTAAAGTGTAAATAGAAAAAAGATTCATTTGTGACTAATGTATAATTATCAGAGTCTTTTCATTGGTAAAAGTCTGAAGTGACCATATTTAGAACCGGAGCTGCACTTGTCATATATTCTGTATCTTCAGGAATCCTGTAGTATTATTTTTAATGCAGTGTTTCTGTGCTATTTAAGCTGACACGTGGTTCCATTTAATCTTAGTCATCTTAATAAAAATTCCTTAAACCATGAAAATATACAGAATGAGGAAATGCAATACACACTGCAGCAGTAGCTGTGTTGTATTGTCCATTATTAGATATCAACTGAGAAAAAAAAAGACGAGTTACGTAAACCACGATCTCCATCAGCTGCTGTGTTTTCACCACATGCTTGCATGAGTCATTACTTTCGGTCGCAGTCAACAGAAGTTCATGTTTGTGCCATGCAGGACTCTTGCAGTGCACATGCTCCCTCATTGAGCTGTCTTTAGATCAGCCACAACTAGATGAGAAACTACCAATATACGTTATTTGGCCTCTATATCTTTACTTTACTATATTTATGGGAAACTATAACTCAGATTTGTCTGTTCTTTCACTCACCCACCGCATTCCTGCTGTCATTACAAAAGCGTAGTTCCAGTATTTCAGGAAGAAAGATTTGTTTGATGCTGTTAATGATGTATGCTTGCACTTGATTGCATCAGTCTTTTATGGACTACAGGCGCAGAGGAGCATGCATTTCTTCAGCTGGCCTTAAAACATAATACTCCCAGTCCTCCCAAAGCTGCACCTCTATAATCTTCACATGAGAGCGGCAGTAAAGTGCATTATGAAGTTGCCCTTTCCTTGTTCCTCTCCCTCTGGGCTGGAAAATGGAGGTGAGCTGAGGCACCCCTCACCCTCAGTAACCTTAGATGCATGTGTTGGCTCCTCTGAAGCCATGAGGAGTGTCTTTCATTGGCTGGACTTCTACTTAACACATAACTCAGTGGAAGTTATATTTCTTTCTACGCCAAACAATTTTTACGGTTTTTCTTTAAAGCCTTTTCTGCTTTTATCATTTTCTTTCTCTCTAACTGTATTTTTTCTGGTTATGGTCGGATTATGTACAAACACATACACAAAGCCACATGTAAACACTTAATGAAGACACACACACACACACACACACACACACAAGCATGCAGTGTGTTTACAGTAAAAACACTCCACGTCTGTCATCAGGGCAGTGGCTTGTTGTACTTGTCAGCTGATATGTTCATTTTAACAAAACAGTTTTGACAGAGCTGCCACAGTTTGCTTTACCTTTAGCTTCTGACACTGAGAGAGAGAGAGAGAGAGAGAGAGAGAGAGAGAGAGAGAGAGAGAGAGAGAGAGAGAGGCAAGCAAAGAGTGAAAGGAACCATTTATGTTTGCAATATTTAAACTGTTATTGAGCCATCAGGGAAATCACAATCTTCTCTTCAGGGAGGTCAATGAAATATAAAGAATAAAGACAACAGCCTCTGTGGAGCTAGAGAGAATCTGGCGCCTCTGGTTTAAATAAGAAAATTGGGGAACCAGTCAAATATGTATTTATGCTTGCACGTAGCTTTGCATACATGAGGCAAACTTATGTCATGATTAGTGCAGTCATTCATTGATGGGATTTTTCTGTGAATGCACACACAGTTGAAACTGAGTCCTTTATAAACACAGTGACAGGAGACACAAATAGCTTTGAGCTGACAGGGAACAAAATAAATAAATCTCTTTTACTGTAATTTTCCAGGTGTGTAACGAACCATGTCGACACACCTTCCAGGCTGTTTTCCCTGAGCTCTGTTGGCTGCAGAACAGACTGTAGGGACAAGCTAGAACAAAACCTATGTATGTGCTTCCCACAGTACCCAGTATGTGTCGTGCCGCAGCCGCGCCAAACCGCCCGAGGACTTAAAGTGCAAAAACCCACAGTCTTCATGTGAAAAACACACACACTCAAGTGATCAACACAAGTGCCCTCCACCCTCGAAGTTATGAACTTAGTGACCTCCCTGGAACAGAGCGGAGGGAAGTCACAGAAGTTGGATGGGGAGCGGGAGGAATAGAGACATAGGAGGTTAGCTGTCTCAAGTTTGGGGAGACTGATGGCGAGGCCGTGAATGAGAACTGACACGCGCTTGATCTTCTGCAGAAATATGTGGATTGGAAGAACAACCAGGCTGCATATTTTAATAAATTCCTGTTGAAAGATCCTCTCCAGTACATTATGTTATAGTTGGGCTCAGCTGTGTACATGGCATGTATCGTGCCTCAGCTTGAAGCCGATACAGTTTTATGGTGTCGGTACCTTGAGGAACAAATGTGCAGTCACATAAAGAACAACATATAGAGACTGATGTGGTCTCTGATTTCTATTATAATAATACCATTCCTCCTGGTGTTTCTACAAATCCCTTCATTTAGGTTTGAAGAAAAGGCAACGCAAACGTATTTCTGCCTCAAGGCTTTTGACACCTGTAGTAGAAGGTGTCACTTAGAGAAGTGTTGAAACTGCAGTAAACCAGGTTTTATTGCCAAGTAGGTTTACAAATACAAGAAATCTACTGTGTTGTACTGTGCTGTACTGTGTTTGTGCTGAGCATAACTATCAAAATGAATAAATATAACCAGTATATACATTTTTTTGTAAAATATGAACAATATTAGTAATGTGCAATTACCCGTTACTGGGCAAAGAGAGTTACAATTTCACAGTCAAATGTGGGTTTTTAACATTTATGCAGTGCAAGGATGGATGGAGGTTCAAGGCCTTATTGATGAGGCCAGCAGCATGTTGGGAAAAAAACTGTTTTTGTGGTGTAGACCTTTGGTCCTGATGGCTAACAGCCTCCTGCCAGAGGAAAGTGACTCTGAAGCCGTTTTCAGACATGTCCTGCGGTCCAGACATTCTCTACAGTTTTCCTTTCACACATGCACAATGCAGCGGGGGGTTCTCTGCTCAAATGCAGTTACAACAGCAAATTCAGCTGAGGGGGGGGGGGTGCAGCAGGCAGCAATAACTCCGCTGCAGAGATGTTTCTTTTTTCTTTTTTTTCATTTTTCTATCTGTTACTCAGCAGTGCACAGCATCAGGTCAAAAATACGCAAAAGTGAAGTGAATATCGCAGGTCAAAGTTCAGTCCACGTAGAGCCAAGCTGAGATTAGCCTCGCCACAGGAAGTGATTGTTTTATTCGCTCTGAGAGGTTGGAAGTGAACGGAAGATGAAATGTCACCTCTGAAATATTCACGAACGTGTAAGCATCCCCTCACTGTCAACAGCAGTAATCTATAGTCCACACCAAGTGTTTGAACAGTTGCATATTGATCAATGCTCTGAGCATCAGCACATTTAATTTGAATTAAATGACTACAAACATTAAAGTATCTCATCTTTACAAACATATGGAAATAATATGGCATGAGTGAGAGATACAAACCTTTTAACCCCCAGTGCCCAAACTTTAGGAGCATTAAATCAAACTAGATTTCTGACCCACAGTTAGTGTATCATCCCTGGTTTCACTGCAGCCTCCTTCTTCTCTCGCAGCCCAGTTGGTCTGACATAAGATGACCGACATGGCCAGTAATGAGGAATTCTGCCTCTTTGCGCTGAAAAGCTCTTTGGTTGCTCTGGTCGTGTGTTTAGGAATGATGAATGATGAAATGTCGTGCAATGACATTCAATGTTTTTGGTGGATTCTGAGCGAAGAGCGATGTTGTACTCATCCTGTCAACTCCATCCATAGTGCAGTCGGCCACGCATGCTCGAGCTGTAGCTGTAGCACCGTGTCAGACAGATGAGCTGGTGGCTCTGGGTCGTGAGCTGTTTTTACAGTCAACAGAACCTTTTTTTGGTACTTTTGTGTGAACTTGAGTCTGGCCTTTTTGTTTCTGAGTCTTACATCTTGTTTGGATCTTGTGGTGAACCCTGTAATGTTTTGGTTAGTTTTCCTGCGCGTACCTTTATGAACTTTTGTGATAACAACACACATTTAGCAGCCGCGTGCCTTCACTATACAGATGAGTCCGAGGGAAAGACTGAGTGTTTGTATTGATGTTCTTAGCTTTTTAAATTCCACAGCTTATCTGTGTAAGCCGTGTCAGTTATCCTCTTTTTATTACCAGGCCATTAAAATGATGAACAGGCCAGTTGTATAATCCGTGTCTGGAGTGGAAATGGTTTGACATAACTGTGAGTGACGTCTTTACATCTCAATGAATTATCACCTTCATGCCTTCAGCCTTTCGCCGCCACTGCTGCTACTGGAAATGCACCTGGAAATTTATCTGTGATAGAGATTAATCTGATTTGAACAGCTTTACCGAGATATACACAAAGACACGCGCGCTCACACGTACAACGGGCACTGGGGACTATCATCTACTTAACCCTTCACTGTCATGATATCCAAGCTGGACATAGCCCATAGAGACCCAGAGCAGAGCAGGCCAGGAATAGACCGGGCTCGGATTTGCAATGCTTATGTGTAAACTAAATACAGGATGACGCTTTAACTTCACAGAGACAAAGGGCAAAACATGTACACCTCTCAGATTACCCTCATATAAAAAAGCTTGACATAGCTTTCATGTTAGATTGCAGGTTCAAGTTTGTTGCATATAGGAAACACCACCAAGATACAGATTGGTTCATTAGTGCTCAGATGTGGAGTATTTCAAAAGGAAAATGTTTTTTCCTTTGTGAAATATCATTGATTTACACCACTAATGAGATTATGCAATAAACCACAAGAACTGAGTAGTAAGTCATTAATTAAAGCCCCTGGGTTTCTTCCTGACAGGTTCTCCAGGTCCGACGAGCTGTCCCGACACCGCCGCTCCCACTCTGGGGTGAAACCGTACCAGTGCATCGTGTGCGAGAAGAAGTTTGCCCGCAGCGATCACCTGTCGAAACACCTCAAAGTCCACCGCTTTCCACGAAGCAGTAGGACAGGACGCTCTGCAAACTGACCCCTCTGACCCACTCTAAAAGACTGACGCTAAGCAGGGGGCAGGTGGCGTGTGTGTGTGTAGGGGTATGTGTGTGTGTGTGTGAGAGAGAGAGAGAGCAAGAGAGGGGAAAGACAGAGGCGGGGGTGAAAGTCCAAACGCCCTTTAAAGAAGTCTGTGCTGGACTCTTAAAGCTCATGTGTGTTTATGTTCAAATATGTGCGTGTGACGTACATTCATGGTACTGTGATAATTTATTGGGTGGCGAGGAAAAGACTGTAAAACCTAAACTAAAGCAGAAAACTGTTACTTGACATAACACCCTCACAGGTGGAATAAGCTTCTTGTATATTACAACATTTATTTGTCTCACTCGAATCCTGTAGGTAATCCAATTTGAAGAAAAACTGCCATTCAGAGGATTTTGACACTGAGGTGTGTGTGTTATTACTGATGCTCGAGCCTAAAGCCTTATATCAGTAAAGGTTGTGAGACAGGGGTGTGTGCTACTATTTAAACCCCTCAGTTTGTCCCTTTTCTGGAGCCAACCGTTGTTTAAAAGGAATATTAGTCAAAAGTCTGGCTTGAACTTTAATGCGTCAAAAGCAATAAGAGCCCTATACGATTGTATTGTGATCTACAAGGCGGCTTCTTTCTCGATAGATGGCAGAGTAAATGATGCCTCGACATTCCTTCAACTTTCTTTCTGTGTCTTTGTTGCCTTTGAGTCTCGTTACAGGAAAACAACAGAGTCATTAAAACACAAGAACAAAGCTCATGTTGAATTACTGCTCCCACCAACAAAGATCATTATCGTGTGTCTAATTTGCACTGGTGAGTGAGTATTTTCAGTATTTAGAGTAGTTGTGTTGTGGTCTGACTTCACTTATGTACAACAATGCTTCTTTTGGGTCTCTTTCAGTTAAAAACAACCGTTTATCAGAATACTTGTCATTTTTATGGCCTTTTTTTGATCAAACAGAGCGGGTTTGCAGCTACATCCCATGATTATATGTAAAATATTCCAAGCCATCGTTAAAAACAAGTATTTATAGAAGCACGTCTGCTCCTCTGTTTTCAACTCATGATTAATCACGACCTTTATTTTCTAGTTTTGTGCTGTGAGGTGAAGTCATATCTTGTAGCCTATTACTTTATGTCACTTTATTCACTGCTGTTAAAAATACATAAAATAGGGGTCTGGTGTCAGTATCAATCAATTCTAATTCCTTTTTCTCCCTCTTCTTAATACAGAAAAATTTCAATAAAATACCATTTTAAATTAAAAGAAAACATTTAGCCATTCAATTTAAATGGATTTATCTTGTTGTCCATTCATTAAGATATTAAAATATCAGATGACAAATGAACCCATCACTACAAATTAAAAGCATTAATCCAAAATTAAAGGCTTATTTATGCTCAGCGTTAAATGTGGTTATGCACAGAGTCTTCTGTCTGCACTCTGCATTGATTTTGTCCTTTTGGGTGCACGCTTTCTGAAAGCTCACTAATTTGGATGCAGTACCACTTAAAAAATCATAGGGGCAGTGTCCCCAATAATGGTGGAATTTTTATCGCAGATTTTATGCTTCATCCATCATTTCAAGTTGGTCAGAAATGTAAAACCGCTATCTGCAACGCTCCAGCCGACTTTTTCTCTCTCTGTAGATGTAGATTATTTCCTCCTCTGCCACCATCGCCACCTTTGTTGTCAGAAACAACTGACTCAGTGCTGCCCTCTAATGGATTTTATGAAAAGGATGCATGTGGGCAGTGACGGTTACATTGTTTGAAATGGTCGTTATCTATTTTCATATGTGAAAGGACGCACCAATGAGCCTTAAGTAGTCATAACAATAGGACAACGTAAATTGTACAAATAATCAGACACAACACATATGCTCACATTAGCCAACATTAGCCACCAAAAGCTACTGGTTAAACTAGACTGAGAAAGGCTGTATCAAAACATGCAGGATTTAGAAACAGATTTCGAAATATTATGAATGAATTGTTAATTTAAAAAAAGACAGTAATTTGCTATCTCTTCTGTCAAAAGTGATACAGACTCATCTTAACATGTGGAATATTTTGCACCTACTATATCTCAGAGAGGAATCTGGGAATCACTGCCACTGAAGCATGTTCTCTAACGAATATCAGGCCCCTCCACACTTCTGTCCACTGATTTCTTTCCAAAAATGAAAAACGTATGAATCCCCTTCATTGATCTCCTTCGCTCTTACCTTCTGTGACTTATTGCCGCAATTTTCTCAAAGGTTAACAGAAAACAGAAAATTGTTCTAAGAGCAAATAAAATCTCTTGCCTTTGTCTTGTACTGTAAGGGAACAGTGAGTGTTGTGCTTATTGTTGTGTTATGACATGTATATGTATCTGCATCTCAGCTGGATCAAACCAAACCCGTGACTGAAGGGACACAAACTGCTGCCTGCTGCACGGAGATGCTTCACTGTGCCACCAGGATCAGTTGGCATCAGTCAGTGTTGAAATGGTTTGAGGAAGGGATGTGAAAAAAAAGGTTCCTGGAAATATTTGATGTGCTGAAACCTATAACCTTTTTGAGTGTTGGGTACGCAGCACTTGACGCTGTATGGAGGAAGTGGATTAACTCTGGCAGGCATTCCTTCCATACGATCAGAAGAAACACTTTTCTGAATGGGAGCCATATGTGAGCCCATGAATGTATGTAAATACTGTATATGCATTTGAAAAGAGAACAGAAATATTCTTCTAGTGATTTCTGCGATTGTGAAAGATTTTTAAAAATATGTAAAGAAAGTGTATATAACATGATAATTCAAATATATAGTGAGAGATTGTAGCAACTTAAGTTCTGTCCATTGTTTACATGACACATCGTTAAAAAGACTCACGACAGGTTTCATGCTAAATCCATGTATCAGCATTTCATCTAATGGTTTCTTGCCTGGAATGATTTGAACAGGTCTAAACAGCAGTGTAGAATGTTGCGTCACGAAACATGTAATGAGTCATTTTTAACTTTGTTCTGTAAACACTACAGAAAAGTAGTTGCTCAAAAAATGTTATATTTTTGCTTTTGTTCTACTACGTAAAATACATTTACAATAAAAATTCTAAAACCAAATATGTGTTGCTGCCCTTGTGTTTCCTTTAGCAAAAGCCAATGATTTTGTGTTTAAAACAAAAAAGAGACTATAGACTATAGGACAAGATGTTGAATATCCCTTGTACGTTTGAAGGTATTCTGCACAATTTCAGATACCAACTACCAGTAGATGTTAGCAGGTGTTAGTGGCCACCAGCGGATGTTAGGGACATAACTTCAGTTGTGCACCCTAATGTCATCAAATGTTTTGGCTTTGAAATCAATGATACAGGCCAAGATGAGGGTACACTGAGGCTAAAGGTAATTCTGACTGGAAATTGTATGGCAGTACTATGAAAGCCATGTGGCCCACTCAGTAGATCAGATAGCACTACCTCTTTGCCTTTTTAAATGTAACGCTTTTTGGGGAATATCCCATGTATGTTCTACGACACTAATTAATGCCTACTGCCAGTTATCGGATGTAAGTGACCACTAGCGGATGTTAGGGACATATCATCAGTTGTATACCTTAGCTTAGGTTTTTCAGCCTTTTAATCTCAAGACCCCCTCTTCTAAAGCAGGCCCAGCACAGGTTCTTCAGACCTGGGTGCATGTCTCTAGCATCTTGGGGCTCAGTTGGGATATTTCCTCCTGATCCAGAGCCATTGGCTGCAGTGCTCTGCAGTCTGTGATGTTTCTTTTATGGTCTGATGCAGGGCTTGTCTGTGGATCCTCAGATCTCTGAGCATCCTGATGGTGGATGTTGCAATGAAACCCCTGCAGATTAATTCCACAGTGCAAACTTTTGCTTTCCAGCCACGTTGCTCTGCCTTAAATGCCATGTCTGCATGCTGCAGCCTTTTCCTCTCATTCGCTTCACTAACATTATCCTATCAGGGTACTGTCTATTCTAAGAAGTAGACGACGTGCAGAGTGTTGGACCAGAGTACCAGGTCAGTTCTTAGGGTGGTAGTGACTATATGTGATGGGACTGTAAGCTGGAATGGAAAAGTAAAATTCCACCCACAATTTAGTTGGTGCTGCATGTTCATGATGGATACCTCACTGAACTGAGGTGGCTCACACGTGTCTTCACACCGTCAATAGTCCTATTTTATTCAGTCTAATGGTGATCCGCAGTGCTAAAAGTTAAGACAGTGGAAAACTACTGCCATTCGCCATTGCAATAAAACGTCTTGTTGTTAATATGATTTCAACATGACTAACATTAGATAGTCACTGTTCATCACAGATTAAAAGATTAAACAGGCAAAATGCAGAATTTCTCAATAACGTGCTGCAGCAGCGAGCTGTGAGACACGTCATCGGCACCAAAATGAAAACCAAGATGTTCTGTGTCCACCACAGACAAGTAACACAGGGAGCACTCTCTCTGGCCTTAGGGTCACACAACCCAAACCTTCTGTTCTGGTTGACATTTCAACAGGCTTCAAAAGCTGATTTTAACAGTAGCCTAACTCAATCAGATACATTGTCCTTGTGTTTTTTATCCAGATGTAGCTCAGCAAGAAGGACAAAAAAAAGGTCTCCTGTAAAGTTGCACAGGGAAGATGAAGCTGGAAAATGTGAGGAATTTCGGTGTAAGATTTGTACCACATGGCAAATTTGCATGGAAATTACAGCCTCATTTTCTGCTCTCCCTTCATCCAGTCTCCTTTTTTCTGCTCACTACTTACTCCCCCTTCCTCACAACTCAAAAATGGTTTTGAATGTTTTCTGGCTGTGAGGGTGTTTGCTGAGTCATTGTGTAAAAGCAGAGATGTAGCAACTAAGAAAGAGGTGGCAGCAAAAAGCAAGAACAATCTCTGTCTCTCTTTTCTAGTGTCTGTTGTGGATATAGATCATGTTGATTTATGAGCCAGCGCAGTCTCAGAGGCATTCTGGGATGAAGCAGGAAGATTTAATTCAGCACATCTGGACCTAAAATGCACTCCGTTGGCTGTAACTGCCATACTGAGCATGCAAGAACATGCAACGGCAGGATTAAATCAGTCTGATAAAATACTGCTAGCTTAATGTAGGCATGTTGGCACAGGACACTATAATAAAATGATGATTTAAAGTTAAAAAGAAAAAAATGGAACAAGTGATAGATCTAAATTCTCCTATTTAATTTGATTCCACTGAATAAATGTTTGATCTGCTATTATTTTTACAAGTAATACACAGAGAGGTTAACATTGCACATGTTCATTCCCCTATTCATTGGCTTGGGTCCATTAATACGCTAGCAGGATGGTTATCTTCCACAGTTTAATTAAAAACCTTATTGAGAAATGGATAAATGTTACTGTTGTACAGCTATACACAGAAGAAGTGAGACAGTCACTGGAGATATACATGGGTGAAAGGGTACTTGCAGCTTGTTTGTAAATGTGTGTTTACAAAACCAGCCATGAATCTCTGGCAAGCAAAAACAAAGTTACCTTGTGGTTGACTAGCAGCTATTTCCAGCAACCGTGATTGAGATTTTCAGCAACCAAGTTCTGAATAAACCTTTGAAACCTTAATTGTCTTCACCTCCTTCCAATTACATGTTTGTAACAGACTTATTTTATTAATTGTTCTCTTCAGGATAGGTCAGGGTACAGAGAAATGCCATAATTTACAGTATCAATCATTAACATGCACCTGGGAATTACTTTAAATGACAAGAATACAACATCAAAAACAACAATGATAAAGCATTGGACTTTAACAAGGAGGTGACTTCTTCCTTCCCAATGTTAAACCTACAAAAGATATTAAAAGATGAACTGTGATGAATATATACAGTTCTTAGAGTAAGTGAGTAAACTGTGCGATTTACTGAATGCCTGTGTTTTCATCTGAAAACTTTTTACAATTTGGCTAATATGGCTACCATGGATAACCATACAGCGTTAACTTCTAGAATTTCTTCACTGTGCGGTAGCCATAAATGTACAGACAACTGGATACTTGAGAAATATTTGTAGATAGTGTGACATCTCTCCCACTGTGTAGTACAGGGGTGGGGAACGTCCGGCCTCTGGGTGATATAAAGCCCGTGAGAAAGTTTAATCTGGCCAGCGGGGCAATTCTTAAAAACAAAAAACCAACTCAGAAATACAAATATATCTCCTGAAAATTAGAATTAGATGTTTCAGTGATAAATGAGGATTACATTACATAGTTAATTAGTAAACAAATATTTCATCCAAGATAGTCCCTTCCAGATGTGTGCCTGTCCAAATCATGGTCAGGTTTACGCATCATCACTACCAGGCATCATAGCGACTGTCAAAAACAACAAAAGCCATATAATTTAACTTTGCAAAAAAAATGGGCAAACAATTATTGTTTTTGTGAACATACTCACAGTGATGAAAGAGGCCAATCTCGAGGGCCATAACAGCTGGAAGCATGGAGCCAAACTGGATGAGTTGCAGGGACAAATGAGCTGGAAAAAGAAACTACTCTTGGGCGGACATTGGGTGCCCAACAGGCAGCTTTCACAAGACCACATTCTGACAGGGACAATGTTTTACAGGCAAGTTTTGTGGTGAGTGAGCTAATAGCTAAGACGCAGAAACATCGTTCAGAGGGAGAATTTGTGAAGGAGAACCTTGTTGCCTCTATGGGGCCGCTTGCACCGGACAAAATAAAATTGTTCCAATTGCAGTCTTTGGAAGCCATGTGTATGCTCTGACAAGTGCAACTGGAAAGTGCATTTTCCTACTCTACAAGTACAATAACCTGTTGTGACATCTGAATATGCTAGTGAGTCTTCAGGCATTTGACGAGAGGTTTCAGGGCATGAAAAGGAAATCAAAGTAAATTAAAATATTTGTCAAGCCGTTGAATGTTTCCCAGTTGATGTGTCAAACAACCTACAACACGTGATCATTGGGCTGCAGACGTCCTGGGGATTTGGAATCTCTGTTAGTCACAGATTACTTCTGTCAGCAGTTCTTTGCAAAACTGACTTTTGAAATATTAATTTTCGGCACAAGACTGATTGACCCAAACCTTGAAAACCAGCTGATAGTAGCATCATCCTCAATACCATCTGCCATCAGATACCTCACCAAAGAAAAGCAGGCCCATTCATCGCCGAAGTGTGCGGAATAACTTAATACAGTGATATGCATCACTTTCATTGCAGATGTAGCTGACCAACATATAGTTTGTTTGTGTGAGTATTAGGGCTGTACTTGATATT